GTCTCTTCTGCTCACCAAGGCTGCATGTATTTGATCAAAAATACAATCAAAACCGTAATAACTGTTATAACTGCTTTCTATTATTAATATATTTTCAAATGTAATTTATTCCTGTGATCAAAGCTGAATTTTCAGCATCATTACTCCAGTCTTCAGTGTCACATGATCCTTCAGAAATCAGTATAATATGCTGATTTGCTGCTCAAGAAACATTTCTTATCATTATGAATGTTGAAAACAATTGTGCTGCTTCATATTTTCAGGGTTCTTTGATTAATAGAAAGTTCAAAACTGTCTTTACTGTCACTTTTGATCAGTTTAATGCATCCTTGCTGAATTAAAATATCAGTTTCTTGCAAAAAAAAATAGTGACCCCAAACTTTTGAACGTTAGTGTAATTAAAATTTTATCCAATATTTTTGTGTTCTTTTCATTTTTTGTGCTTCGAGTATCATGCGGTTAGATCAGCGATATGCTAACTGAATCAGTTGAAGCAAAGTTGCTGCCTAAGATGAAAGACACTCAGTACTGTAGTTTTTGTAACAGAGCCAATGTGTATCTGTCTTCTACTGTAAATATGATGGATCTTGGCACCATGAGAGTGTTCACAGCTAGACTGTTTCTAAGAGCTTTTTCGATAATCTGAATGATTAATAACCATTCAACTATTTTAGTGTAGATCATAGAGATTGTTTAATAATTGGATATCTGCTATAAAAAAAAACAGCTGTTTATGATTGGTGTGGGTCATAGTCTGTCATCCCATCATCTGATGATCCGCTAGCATGTCATGTGACCGCAGGTACGGGGTTACGACTTCAAAGCTGACATTTGGAGTTTCGGAATCACTGCCATTGAACTCGCGACAGGCTCTGCGCCGTATCATCGCTACCCCCCTATGAAGGTAACACAACGACTGCCTGTTCATTCGACCATTCATGCTGTGTGTTTGTGAAAACGTACCTGTTTTCATCACCTCTTTTGCATATGCAATTATAGCAGTTACACAAAGTAAATCAAGTGTTGGTGATTTCTTTTATTTGTCTGTACTGCCGATATTACATATGTATACTAAATGAAAGCAAAGCCTGTGCAGTTGAACCGTATCTAATGTGGTTTTACAGAGGCATCCATCGTCCCAAGCTCAGCAGGCACCAACTAAAAGAATAGTTCATCCAGAATGAAAATGATCATAATTTATATTTTGATTGTTCAGGTTTTCTTTCCTAAAATACAAAAGGAAATGTTTTGCTGAGTATTCTGTCTAATGTTCTATTTGACATTCTATTGTTCTGTCTATTTATTATAGATAAATCCATCCATCCATTCTATCATTCTGTTGTTCCTTACATCTATACATCCATCAAGTCTATAATTCTGTCGTTCTATACATGCATACATCTATCCATCCAATAAATCAAATCTACCATTCTGTCATGCCATCCATCCATCCATCCATCCAGTCTACCATTCCGTCATTCCACCATCATTCATCCATCCAATCTTCCATTCTGTCATTCCATCCATCCATCCAGCCATTAAATCTACCATTCTGTCCATCCATCCAATCCACCATTCTGTCTTTCCATCCATCCATCAGTCCATCCATCCAATCTACCATTCCGTTGATCCATCCATCCATCCATCAAATCTACCATTCTGTCCATCCATCCATCTAGTCTACCATTCCGTCATTCCCCCATCATTCATTCATCCAATCTTCCATTCTGCCATTCCATCCATCCATCCAGCCATAAAATCTACCATTCTTTCCATCCATCCATCCATCCATCCATCCATGACGTCGTTCTGTATCTATCGTTCCTTCTAATGTTCTGTCGTTCGTTCTATCTATTGTTTGTTGTGTTGTTCTATTGTTCTATCTACTGTAACTATTTCTGATTCGTTCTATTGTTCTGTCTATTTATTTTCATATCTGATGTCTTCCTGCTGTTTTGCAGGTTTTAATGCTCACGCTGCAGAATGATCCTCCAACCTTGGAGACTGGAATTGAGGACAAAGACATGCTTAAGAAGTATGGGAAATCTTTTAGAAAACTTATATCCTTGTGCCTTCAGAAGGACCCTGCAAAGAGGTAATTTGAATTGCCAAACCTGCCTTATTTGTTCACACAAATGAGTAAATCTGTGTCCAAAAATGCTGAATGGTGTGCAGTCTGCAAAATGGTTTCCTTGCATGACCAGAAGTTTCAGCAAAGCCTTAATACTAGAAACAAACAAATTGATTTGAATTGTGTATATTATTGAATAGCAGGTCGTCTGTCCTTCGTTTACGTGCTGTTTGTTCTCTCTAAAGATAAATCGCAGTCAATAAAAGAAATGCCACGCAGACAAAGTAATGCGATCAATGCGATCTTGAGACAATAAATTGCTGCTGGTCTGTTTACATTCTACATCAGCTGTCTCACCTGGTAAATACATTGGACAGGTAGTAGGGCTATATATATATATATATGTATGTTCCAAAATTGAAACAGTGGACAGTGAAAATGTCGCCAGGTTAAGTAAAAATCTGAACTACTGGCCCAGCCTGGCCAGGACAAAAAAGTCCTATTGATGAGTCTTGAAATGTGGACCTGTCTGAAAATGTCATCATCAAGCGCTCCTTCTCATCTCCACAGGCCCACTGCAGCCGAGCTTTTGAAATGTAAATTTTTCCAAAAGGCTAAGGTACGGCAATATACTCTCCCTCCATACTTCAAATGCTTTAACCAGTGCTTCACAGTGGTCTGTCACTGATATATGTTATATATTTCCCCTCTTGCCTCTGTGTTGTAGAATCGAGAGTACTTGATTGAAAAGCTGCTTAGTAAAGGACCAAATATAAGCCAAAGAGCCAAAAAGGTAACGCTTTCTCATTCTTCCCCACGCATTTGAGTGTATTTTCTCCCACAGTCCAGATGAGTCTGTGCTCTCATGTTCAGTAAAGTGCTTTCTATATTGATTACACTGTGTGGCTGCTTTTGATTGAGGGATCGGAAGCCGTAATGTTTCTCACTGCAGGACATCTGCCCTTAACACTCACTGAGTGTCTCTCTGGCCGCTCCGATACTAAATGCACTCTAACCTATTACTGTAAGAGTAAGAGTGGACTCTATCGTGAACTCTGTCCCTCAGTGTGATCCTTTGTTTCTCTCTGCTAGATACTGTGTTTACTGTTAGAATGTTATAGAACGTTAGAATGATAGATGGATAGGCAGATCCATCTGTCATTCTAGTGTTCTATGTAACATTCTGTCTATCATTCTATCCATCTGTCGTTCTATCTATCTCTTGTTCTATCTAGTGTTCTATCTATTTTTCTATCATTCTAACTTTATATCTATCATTCTAACATTCTAATGTTTTAACATACTCTCTTATCATTGTAACATTATATCGTTAGATTGTTCTAATGATCTGTCTGTCTGTCTATCGTTCTATCTGTCTGTCTGTTTGTCTGTTTATTAGTTATATGGACTCCTGTGAATTAAATTAAATTACATTTAATTTAATTTAATTCTCCTTCTTTACATTTAAATGTGAATTTCTGTCCTGCATCATGTTTATGCAATTTTCTTTGCATGTTTTACATTTCATCAACATGCAGTCATACACCCTCCCCTCTAAATCCGATTGTGTGTGCGGTGTGTTTCCTTACTAAGCAGGTGGTGTAAAACTCATTCACTCTGAATGAAGGCATCGCTTCAGTTCATGCCTTTAGCAGACACCTAATGTCTCTGAGCTCTGAAGAAAAATGGGATTGCATGCAGGCCGCATGTGCCGTAGTGCTGCTGTGTCAGGACAGATAGGGGTGGCTATCATCACCCCACACCCCCAGCCCACCAAATGAATGAGAGAAATGGCAGCTAAAGAGCTCCGCACATCCATCCATTAAGGAGGAGGTACAGAATGTCCCAGTGGAGGTGGAAGTAGAGGCTGTGACATTGATAGGCTGAAATGATGGAGGGATGTTGGTGTTTTTAAATGTGGGCTGCTGGTGTTGTGTTGAGGTGCAGCTGACAGAATGAGGGAGATATGCTGTGCATATATAGAATATTCACAAAGATTTTGCTGGTGATGCAGTCCTTCTTCGTCGTGCAAGTCATAAGATGTTTTAATAGCATCTCTGATTTATTAAACTTATTCATTTAAAAGTTTGTAAATGTATTAGTTTGATTTAAACTTACCAGTTTAATTTAAGTTAATTTAAGTTATTTAAGTCATTTCCATGAGTCAGTTCAAAATGAGTCGATTCTAAGCTCATGATTTGTTTGCGTAACTTCTCAAAATTGTTCATGGAAATCTCTTTAAAATGTTTTCATGAAAAATATATGCACTTTCTATTTGTAAGTAGTGTAGTATTGGTGCATATAAATGTTAAATGAACCTTAACAAATATTGCCTTGATTATTTTATTGTATTTATTTATTGTATAATGCATTACGGTAACACTTTAGTATAGGGACCAATTCTCACTATTAACTAATTGCTTATTAGCATACCTATTATTAACATATTGGCTGTTTATTAGTACAGATGTGTTGGAGACAGAAGGAGATGTGTTGCACTGCGTGAGGCAAATGGTGGTCACACCAGATACTGACTGGTTTTCGGACCCCCCAATACAGTAAAACGGCACATTTTAGAGTGGCCTTTTATTGTGGCTAGCCTAAGACACACCTGTGCAATAATCATGCTGTCTAATCAGCATCTTGATATGCCACACCTGTGAGGTGGATGGATTATCTCGGCAAAGGAGAAGTGCTCACTAACACAGATTTAGACAGATTTGTGAACAATATTTGAGAGAAATAGGCCTTTTGTGTACATAGAAAAAGTCTTAGATCTTTGAGTTCAGCTAATGAAAAATGGGGGCAAAA